GGCGAAAAATTAAGTTTCTCCAATCTTCCCAAAACTCTGGATTCTGATAGAGGGCCATGAGACTTAGACCTGAGTGCAAAAATGGAGGCTCTAGCCCCTTCCAGAGCTGAGATATCGAAACTCAAAAATTCGGCCCGAAAAAAAAACGACAGTGGTACCCCTTACGTTTTTTTTTTTGGGCGAAAAATTAAGTTTCTCCAATCTTCCCAAAACTCTGGATTCTGATAGAGGGCCATGAGACTTAGACCTGAGTGCAAAAATGGAGGCTCTAGCCCCTTCCAGAGCTGAGATATCGAAACTCAAAAATTCGGCCCGAAAAAAAAACGACAGTGGTACCCCTTACGTTTTTTTTTTTGGGCGAAAAATTAAGTTTCTCCAATCTTCCCAAAACTCTGGATTCTGATAGAGGGCCATGAGACTTAGACCTGAGTGCAAAAATGGAGGCTCTAGCCCCTTCCAGAGCTGAGATATCGAAACTCAAAAATTCGGCCCGAAAAAAAAACGACAGTGGTACCCCTTACGTTTTTTTTTTTTGGGCGAAAAATTAAGTTTCTCCAATCTTCCCAAAACTCTGGATTCTGATAGAGGGCCATGAGACTTAGACCTGAGTGCAAAAATGGAGGCTCTAGCCCCTTCCAGAGCTGAGATATCGAAACTCAAAAATTCGGCCCGAAAAAAAAACGACAGTGGTACCCCTTACGTTTTTTTTTTTGGGCGAAAAATTAAGTTTCTCCAATCTTCCCAAAACTCTGGATTCTGATAGAGGGCCATGAGACTTAGACCTGAGTGCAAAAATGGAGGCTCTAGCCCCTTCCAGAGCTGAGATATCGAAACTCAAAAATTCGGCCCGAAAAAAAAACGACAGTGGTACCCCTTACGTTTTTTTTTTTGGGCGAAAAATTAAGTTTCTCCAATCTTCCCAAAACTCTGGATTCTGATAGAGGGCCATGAGACTTAGACCTGAGTGCAAAAATGGAGGCTCTAGCCCCTTCCAGAGCTGAGATATCGAAACTCAAAAATTCGGCCCGAAAAAAAAAACGACAGTGGTACCCCTTACGTTTTTTTTTTTGGGCGAAAAATTAAGTTTCTCCAATCTTCCCAAAACTCTGGATTCTGATAGAGGGCCATGAGACTTAGACCTGAGTGCAAAAATGGAGGCTCTAGCCCCTTCCAGAGCTGAGATATCGAAACTCAAAAATTCGGCCCGAAAAAAAAACGACAGTGGTACCCCTTACGTTTTTTTTTTTGGGCGAAAAATTAAGTTTCTCCAATCTTCCCAAAACTCTGGATTCTGATAGAGGGCCATGAGACTTAGACCTGAGTGCAAAAATGGAGGCTCTAGCCCCTTCCAGAGCTGAGATATCGAAACTCAAAAATTCGGCCCGAAAAAAAAACGACAGTGGTACCCCTTACGTTTTTTTTTTTGGGCGAAAAATTAAGTTTCTCCAATCTTCCCAAAACTCTGGATTCTGATAGAGGGCCATGAGACTTAGACCTGAGTGCAAAAATGGAGGCTCTAGCCCCTTCCAGAGCTGAGATATCGAAACTCAAAAATTCGGCCCGAAAAAAAAACGACAGTGGTACCCCTTACGTTTTTTTTTTTGGGCGAAAAATTAAGTTTCTCCAATCTTCCCAAAACTCTGGATTCTGATAGAGGGCCATGAGACTTAGACCTGAGTGCAAAAATGGAGGCTCTAGCCCCTTCCAGAGCTGAGATATCGAAACTCAAAAATTCGGCCCGAAAAAAAAACGACAGTGGTACCCCTTACGTTTTTTTTTTTGGGCGAAAAATTAAGTTTCTCCAATCTTCCCAAAACTCTGGATTCTGATAGAGGGCCATGAGACTTAGACCTGAGTGCAAAAATGGAGGCTCTAGCCCCTTCCAGAGCTGAGATATCGAAACTCAAAAATTCGGCCCGAAAAAAAAACGACAGTGGTACCCCTTACGTTTTTTTTTTTGGGCGAAAAATTAAGTTTCTCCAATCTTCCCAAAACTCTGGATTCTGATAGAGGGCCATGAGACTTAGACCTGAGTGCAAAAATGGAGGCTCTAGCCCCTTCCAGAGCTGAGATATCGAAACTCAAAAATTCGGCCCGAAAAAAAAAACGACAGTGGTACCCCTTACGTTTTTTTTTTTTGGGCGAAAAATTAAGTTTCTCCAATCTTCCCAAAACTCTGGATTCTGATAGAGGGCCATGAGACTTAGACCTGAGTGCAAAAATGGAGGCTCTAGCCCCTTCCAGAGCTGAGATATCGAAACTCAAAAATTCGGCCCGAAAAAAAAACGACAGTGGTACCCCTTACGTTTTTTTTTTTTGGGCGAAAAATTAAGTTTCTCCAATCTTCCCAAAACTCTGGATTCTGATAGAGGGCCATGAGACTTAGACCTGAGTGCAAAAATGGAGGCTCTAGCCCCTTCCAGAGCTGAGATATCGAAACTCAAAAATTCGGCCCGAAAAAAAAACGACAGTGGTACCCCTTACGTTTTTTTTTTTGGGCGAAAAATTAAGTTTCTCCAATCTTCCCAAAACTCTGGATTCTGATAGAGGGCCATGAGACTTAGACCTGAGTGCAAAAATGGAGGCTCTAGCCCCTTCCAGAGCTGAGATATCGAAACTCAAAAATTCGGCCCGAAAAAAAAACGACAGTGGTACCCCTTACGTTTTTTTTTTTGGGCGAAAAATTAAGTTTCTCCAATCTTCCCAAAACTCTGGATTCTGATAGAGGGCCATGAGACTTAGACCTGAGTGCAAAAATGGAGGCTCTAGCCCCTTCCAGAGCTGAGATATCGAAACTCAAAAATTCGGCCCGAAAAAAAAACGACAGTGGTACCCCTTACGTTTTTTTTTTTTGGGCGAAAAATTAAGTTTCTCCAATCTTCCCAAAACTCTGGATTCTGATAGAGGGCCATGAGACTTAGACCTGAGTGCAAAAATGGAGGCTCTAGCCCCTTCCAGAGCTGAGATATCGAAACTCAAAAATTCGGCCCGAAAAAAAAACGACAGTGGTACCCCTTACGTTTTTTTTTTTGGGCGAAAAATTAAGTTTCTCCAATCTTCCCAAAACTCTGGATTCTGATAGAGGGCCATGAGACTTAGACCTGAGTGCAAAAATGGAGGCTCTAGCCCCTTCCAGAGCTGAGATATCGAAACTCAAAAATTCGGCCCGAAAAAAAAAACGACAGTGGTACCCCTTACTTTTTTTTTTTTTTCGGGCGAAAAATTAAGTTTCTCCAATCTTCCAAAAACTCTGGATTCTGATAGAGGGCCATGAGACTTAGACCTGAGTGTAAAAATGGAGGCTCTAGACCCTTCCAGAGCCGAGATATTGAGATATTGAGATCCCACATAGCATTTATGCCATTATAAATATCTCAATATCTCAGCTCTGGAAGGGTCTAGAGCCTCAATTTTTGCACTCAGGTCTAAGTCTTTATATTTCCTGCTTTATAGTTTGGGGTGAAGTGTGACCAGGATCTGGTTTTGTTGAGATTCACACACTGACGGTGGTGTGTGTGTGTGTGCACCTGCTGTCTGGTCAAGTACACAGTAGTGCAGTGCCAGATCAGTGCTGTGTGCAATAAGCCCAGCAGGTTTATGTGGATGAGTGCGTTTGGTGCTGATTGTTCCTTTCACATCCGTTCTCCACTCCTCCAGCACCTGACTGCCAACACTTACTTCAGTCCCTAATATGAAGACATGTTGTGATGGATTCCGTTCAATATCGGGATTCTGATAACACCTGGTTTGGCCTATACATCCTTTAACTATCTCAGCTCTGGAAGGGTCTAGAGCCTCAATTTTTGCACTCAGGTCTAAGTCTCATGGCCTCTATAGAATCCAGAGTTTCAAGAAGATCAGAGACCAGAAACTCAAAATTTGCGACCAAAAAAAAAAAACGACAGTGGTACCCTTCGTTTTTTTTTGAGGCGAAAAATTAAGTTTCTCCAATCTTCTCAAAACTCTGGATTCTGATAGAGGGCCATGAGACTTAGACCTGAGTGCAAAAATGGAGGCTCTAGCCCCTTCCAGAGCTGAGATATTGAGATCCCACATAGCATTTATGCCATTATAAATATCTCAATATCTCAGCTCTGGAAGGGTCTAGAGCCTCCATTTTTGCACTCAGGTCTAAGTCTTTATATTTCCTGCTTCATATTTTGGGGTGAAGTGTGACCAGGATCTGGTTTTGTTGAGATTCACACACTGACGGTGGTGTGTGCGTGTGTGTGCACCTGCTGTCTGGTCAAGTACACAGTAGTGCAGTGCTAGATCAGTGCTGTGTGCAATAAGCCCAGCAGTGTTTATGTGGATGAGTGCGTGTTGGCGCTGATTGTGTCCTCTTCACATCCGTTCCTCCACTCCTCCAGCACCTGACTGCCAACACTCACTTCAGTCCCTAATATGAAGACATGTTGTGATGGATCCGTGTCAATATCGGGATTCTGATAACACCTGGTTTGGCCTATACATCCTTTAACATATCTCAGCTCTGGAAGGGTCTAGAGCCTTAGGGTCTAGATACTTTTTTCTGTAATTACATTTCTTGATGTCGTGTCTAACAAATGATCTGAAATGTTTATTATATTGACTCGTGTATATGACCTGAAAGCATTGTTTGATGTTGCCATAACAGTCAGAGTTATGAATGTGGTTTAAAAATTTGGTTTTGTGTTTAAGGTTTTGAGAAAGTGAGAGATAGTTTCAAGAAATATGTTTTAGCAATTTAGAAAAACTGTAAAACTATTAGATACTGGTGGCGTATTTTTTCCGAACTAACACCCCTTAGTTTGAAAGGTTCTAAAACAGTCAAGTCTCAATGTCCTAAATCAAATGATTTGGCCAGTTTAACATACACCCCTAACCCTGTTAACGTGTTTAATAAACAACAGTACAATTAACCCAAATTAATGCAGGCGAAAAACCATTTTGTTGTTAGTTCATGATACCCAACACTATTTTACTTTAAAACAAAACAGTGATGCAATAAAACAGGCCACTTTATATCTCAAACCCAGTTTATTCAGAATGCTAAATTCTTTAAATACACGTTGCATCAAATGCTTTAAATGCAATATTTGTATGAGGGTGGCCGTATAAAACTCCATGTCTGGCCTTGTGTAGTAGATCAGGTGTTACCGGTGTGTCCAAATGGTGGTCTGTCTTGGATGTAGGGAATGCAGGCGATCACTGGTTATTACGCCTCAAGCTCAAAATCAAAATAATGGGGATCAAAGTAATGAATTCTGACGTAACCATCCTCTCCTCCACTGCTATAACTGTGGGTGGAAGAAGGAAGTGAAATCTTTAACTTGTACAAGAAAATAATTAAGGATAGCAATGAAGGATAAAACATTATGAAAGCAGCTCAGAAAAACTGTTCTAAGAAATTTTAGTCAACTTTACAATAAAGTTTCATTTGTTAGCATTAGTTGACATGAGGTATCATTAAAGCAGTAGTTCACTTTTAAGAAAACTTTTGCTGATAATTTACTCCCATGTCATCCAAGATGTCCATGTCTTTCTTTCTTCAGTCGAGAAGAAATTAAGGTTTTTGATGAAAACATTCAGAATTTTTCTCCACATAATGCACTTCAGTGGGAACCAAACGGTTCAAGGTCCAAAAGACAGCTTCAGTGCAAACTGCACTGTGAACGCTGCAAAAATGCGCGTTCGTGACTCTCCTGTTCGAACTTGTTCATCAAAATAAACTAATCTTTTTCTGAATCGTTCGTTGAATTAACCAAATGACACGAAAAAAAGATTTGTTCATTTTGACAAACCAGTTCGAACAGGCGAGTCACGAATGTGCATCACAGAACAGAGCAAAGCGAGCATTTGAGCTTATAAAACTTTAAATGAGCGATCATTTCACTTGATAACAACCTTATTCATCGTCTGGAATCGTTTAAAGCCCTTTGAACAGTTTGCAATTTGTACTGAAAGTGTCTTTGGACCTTGAACCATTTGGTTCCCATTGAAGTCCATTATAATGGAGAAAAATCCTGGAATGTTTATCAAAAACCTTAATTTCCTTTTGACTGAAGAAAAAAAAACGTGGGATGACAAGGGGGTGAGTAAATTGGAGCAATATATTTTACAACATTTATTAATTCTTAGTTAAATGTTAATTTTAGTGCTGGGCATCAATTAATCACATGCAAAATAAAAGTTTGTGTTTACATAATAATATGCGTGTGTACTGTATAATTATTTAGTATATATAAATACACACATGCATGTATATATTTAGGACTTTTATTTATTTGTATATAATATAAATAATGTATAAATATATATACAGTATATACATGCAAATATTTATTTTATTCAAACTTTTATTTTTGGAATGCTATTAATCATTCCCCTTACTATTAAATTTTTTTAATTAAAAGTTGTTTGTTAGCATTAATGCACTGTGAATCAACATACACATTTTATTTTATTAACTAACATTAACAAAAATTAATAAATGCTGGAAAAATATATTGCTCCTAGTTAATGTTAACCTCATCCCCAACTAACGTTAACAAATGGAACTGTATTGTAAAGTATTATCAAAACTTTAAAGTGCCCCCATCATGCTATTTTAAAGATTTCTAATTTAGTTTACTTGCACGCAAGGTAAAAAAAAAAAAAAATTCTCATAATATACTTTGCAGCATTAATTTTTTTTCTTCAGCGTCTGAAACCATTCAAAAAAAGTATTCGGTATCTATAAACCCCTCCTTTCTGACAGCCAACTCTGCTCTGATTGGTCAGATGGCCCAGTCTGTAGTGATTGGTCTACTGATAACAGCGCGTATTGAAACAAAATGGCCATCAGCATTTGAATAGCATATGAACTTCAGTTCCAGAGGCTTCCTCAACACCTGTATACGAACTGATACAAACAGTAAAGATGACATCAGTTTTACCGTGTCAATTCCAACCCGAATCCCCCGTCCGAAATGTATGTAAAGTGGATTTGTTCTCGCAGCGCAGAAAACAACATCTTCACGACATGTCTACAACACAAATCAATCTCTGCCAGGCCTCAGCTCCAACTACAGTGTTTGAGCACGGGTCAAAGAAAACGTTGTTCATGGACAGCCAATAAAGAGCACATTCATTATGCAAATCTGTTACGAACCTACGTAGGTTCGTGCAGGAAGTGAGCCTGGAATTACTGACGACTTGTTTCAGGAAGTTCAGAATCGGTTCTTTCTTTCAGGAGACAATAACTCGATTTGTTTGATGCTGCACTTTGATGTCGAAACTTTGCAGACCCTTTACATTCACAAACGGCTGCATAAATCACTACATGAAAGGTAATCTCTCAAAAACACATGATAGAGGCACTTTAACTGCACACTTTGAAAAGTTGAGTATGAACCTTTTCCCATCTGGGTGAAATGCCACACAGTTGATGGGGCCAAAGTGTCCCTTCACACGCCCAAACTCCTCTTCATAAGCCGCATGGAAAAACCTAGGAGAGAGTGGCAGTACAGGATAAGGACTTTTTTTTTTTTAAACAATTACACTTTCATGATTGCAAGTTTTTTTTTTGTTTGTTTTTTTACCAACCCTGGAAATCACATTCAAATTAAACACTAACCTGGCCTCGAATTTGCCGATCCTAGTGGAGGTGGTTGTGACTTCCATGGCCTCCTGACCACCTCCCATCACCACCTGAGCAACACATAACATCTCTGCTATTAACAACGTTTACACGAAAAACACGCAAGTTCAGTGCATTTCAGAGACTTACGTGATCCATGATGGGCGAGATGGCTGAGGAGTTAACAGGTCGCTCTGTTTTGAAGGTTTTGATGTGATCGAGGGTTGCGGAGTCAAACAACTGAACAATGAAGGAAGCGGTATGTGAGTCAAAATAACCAGGATTCATTTCTATGAAGGTAAAAGAGTAGCAATACTCGAGAGCACGTAGATGTGAATTTGAGGACGCTTGTATGTGAACATTTAAACTTGTATAATAAAAATCTGAAGTTGAATGTTGAAATTTGCACTTGCAGACAATAGTCACAAACCTGTATTCTGAATATGAAGCTGCAGACAAGCAGTCACAAATGTGTAAAATGCCATTCACAAAAATACAATGACAGTCACAAACATCTAAAATATATTTGCATTTATTCTTACATTCACAATACAACCTCAATTACTCACTTGTAACTTCAAATTTCGCGCCTTGACCTTTGCTATTCTTTTCACGATATACGAGATGCAAAACTAACTTGTGCACTTGTAACTCAGTAGCGGCGAGAGCGGGGGGTGTTCAAAGGAGCCGTTTTATTGGTTGGCGGCTAGCCAATGAAATGGGACTTCTATTGAACGCTAAGATGTCACGAAACCCGCCTCCTCGTGGATGTTCTGAAACGCTAACATGGCTTAATGCATATTTGACTGATTTAAAACACCATACTAATACATGCATACAACAGAAAAACAGATGAACGGAGAATATGAATGCAACATGTTAAATTAAGACAGTGGTATTAAAAGACCAAACTCAGGAAACACCATAAATAAAAGCATACAGAAATGCAATTGAGCAGAATATGGATGCAACTCGTTTAATTGTACGTTAAGCATTTCCCTCTCATTGAAAACCAAGAAAAAGCTCAATGAGGCTCAATGGACCAACAGTTTTTAAGTATTTGTTATACACACATTTGTTTTCTTACGTCAAATTCTGTGTTCATCTACTTTTCTGTGGTATGCATTATTAGTATGGTGTTTTCTAAGTTTGATAATATCATTCATCATTTCTTTAAATCAGTCTAATATGCATTAAGCCATGTTAGCGTTTCAGAACATCCACGAGGAGGCGGGTTTCGTAACATCATCTCGTTCAATAGAATTCCCATTTCATTCAACCAATAAAACGGCTCCTTTGAACATCGCAGGTTGTACTGCGATTTTGTATATTAGAAGAAGTGCAAATTTGTATTGCAAGTTTGTGTCTGTCGTTGTATCTTTGTGAATGGCATTTTACACATTTGTGACTGCTTGTCTGCAGCTTCAGATTCAGAATACAGGTTTATGACTATTGTCTGCAAGTGCAAATCTCAGCGTTCAAGTTCAGATTTTTATTTTACAGGTTTTCACATCGAAGCTGTGTGTTCACGTACAAATATTTTTTGTACAAGTTTTCAAATTCACATCTACATGCTCTCAAGTATTGCTACTCTTTTACCTTCTTACATTTCTGCCAGAGTTTATGATTCAGTTTCCAACACAAACCTTGGCAGTACAGTCTTTGGAGGCAGTGATGACCATCGTGAGATCCACAGATGACTGGATGTCATTGATTTGTTTGGTGTGTTCCTTTGCCTTCTTCAGAATCTCTCCTGACTAAAGAATCACATACATTAGACAACTATCATCTCATCATGGGCATTATGACGACGTGACGGAATATACACGTTACATGTGTTCAAAAGTCTGAGGTTGGTAATTGTTTTGTGTGTTTTTGAAGTCTTTTATTCTCACCAAGGCAGCATTTAAATGATCAAAAACACAACAAAAACAGAAATATTGTGAAATATTATTAAAAAAAAAAATTCAATAATGCTTTTCTGTTTTAATCTATTTTAAAAAGGTAATTTATTCTTGTGATGGCAAAGCATCAATATTCCAGTCTTCAGTCACATGATCCTTTTGCAGCCTTTTTTTTATTTAAAAAAGAAATAATAAAATACATAAATATCTTACTGACCCAAAACTTTTAAAAGGTAGTGTTAAAGAAAAAATAGACACAAACCTTAGCACTGAACTGGTTAATTTCTCCATTTTCATGGCCAGCGATCACAAACTCTCCCAGCGGACCCCATACAGCACTGGTGATCTTTGATTCACTGCAGGGCACGGACATGTATGGCTGGTTGTCCTCTGTGGGAGAGAAACAAAACATCAAGACCCCTGACAGGAAGCATCACAGGTTCTGCTTTAAATCACCAGTGGTCAAAATACTAACCGATTTGCTGAGGGTCTCGGAGGTCGAAATAGTTGAGAAAGCATTGGTAGCCCATCTGCTTGTCTGTGGAAAACATTATGATGTTCCCACTGAAGTCAAAACCACACGTCCTCACGGCCGAGCTGGTCTCCAGAAGAGCCAGCTGCTTTCCTGAGGGAGTCAACACACAAACATCATTCAAGACACTGCTTGTTAACATAGCATTTACTTTGACATTTCAGATTAGTTTTCCTGGCATGGTTTGTGAAAAGAAGCTCAACTTTACAACACTAGACAAATACAGTAAAGACATGAAGTTAAATTTAATTTGGGAAAAAAAACAGCTTTTTTTTTATATATATATATATATATTCTCTGTGGGGTCTTAAATTTCAATGTGTAGTTGGTGAAGAGACTGTAAAAAAGGCAGAAATTATGAACATTTTGAATTGGTTAATAATAATTTGTAAGTGTGATTGTGATTTAAAACTGTTAATATTTTTTAAATAAAATGAATTGTAGTGTGAATGGAAATTGTAAAATAAATGTGGAAAAAAATTAACATTAAAATGCTGAAATTGAATTATTAATAGTATAATAAAACTAACAATAATAATAATAATAATAATTACAAGCCAATGCAATTTGATTTTAAAATATTAATATTGTGGATATTTAATGGGCTGTGGCCAGCAATCCCAAAAAAATGTGTGGGAAAAACACCAAAAGCCTGAAATTGACAAAATGTTAATTTGTTAAATAATAATAAACTGCCCTTTTGTAAAAAAAAAAAAAAAAAAAAAAAAAAAAAAAAAAAACTTTAGGTGGTTTGACTGCGTGAAGATTGAAAAAAAAAAGCATTGATAATTCAGAATTGTTTGTTTGCAAATAATAACAGCAATAGAAGCTACTGCAAATTCCTTTTACAAAATTAAATGCATAAAAATATATACATTTAATATTAAATATTACGATTTAAAAAAAGGCTAAAACTCTTGCCAAAGTTTAGCTTTTTTTTAAATACTAAAAAGTAGCAATTTTGATTTTGTTTTTAAACATAAAAAACATGTATCCCTGTTGTCCATGCATGTTGTTTTGATGTTGTTATGGGTCAAGAAAAGCAGATAAGTATTTGAATATTGTAATAAACTATGGACCTGTTTCGCAGTCCCAGAGCCTGCAGCTGTTATCAGCAGATCCAGTCAAGACGTTCTTTGTGTCCCCTTTGAAACGCGTTAAGAAACATTTCTTCAAAAACAAATGACAAGTAGGAAAGAATGTTGCAGGTGAAATATTCGAATACACTCAATAGTCCCAATAAAACAACATATAAACATAACAATGAAATTCGTTGAGCATTTCATCAACATTATAGGAAGGATACAGTCAACATCCACACACCAGACGGCACCAGTGTGTCCATTATAAGTGCCGAGCCTTTCTCCATTGACAGAGTACCAAACATTTGCAACCTAAAACGACAATGTATGTGTAAAAAAACAATCACAAAATGCATTGAAAAAATTGTGATGCTGTGGTTGTAGTTGATCACTTACCGGATCCTTGGCTACTGAGAACAAGAGATCCCCCTCTCTGTTGTATTTGATTTGAGTGATGGACCTCTCATGGCCCTGCAGAAGAATGGGTTTCTATAGGAAACATAAAGCATGAGTGTTTAGTGTACATGATTTAAAGGGATACTCCACTTTTTTTGGAAATAGGCTCATTTTACAACTCCCCCAGAGTTAAACTGTTGAGTTTTACCGTTTTTGGATGTATTCAGCCAATTTTCTGATATTTAGAAGAATATCAGCAAACAGACAGTTTCTGGTCAGAAACTGTCTGTTTACTGATATTCTTCTAAATATCAGAAAATCGGCTGATTATATGCCTTGCTGTAAAGTGTTATTGCTCTTCCCCATAATGTCTAAATACAGCTAAACCTACAGTAATAATATACAGCCATCAGCTTCACTTTACAATCATATGAAGATTATTTGGCCAAATATAACGTTAAAGCTTAGCATCTGCTAGCTCATGAAGAAACAACGTCCAACAGACTTCCAGTGCGTCTACATTTACATAATAGCGCGAGTAATACGTAGACCTATACTTACCATTATCGCCGGGTTCGTATAGGCAGAATATGATCGAAATAATATTTCAATCTGCCGTTGAAAAACACAGTACGCGGTACGCGTGCTCAACTGCGCCCGGTTAAAAACGGAAAAGACTGACTTCACTTCCTGTACAGACAAAAATAAGTCCCCGTTGAACAATAAACCATCCTAACGGTCCGGAAACATCTGATAAGCGCTGGTTTCATAACACAAATATGATTATTAACGGTCAATTTGAAAGATGTTTCGTTTTTTTTTCTATTATTAGTATTCGGAACATTAACTGAAACTGGTCAAAAACAGTGACTAGTAATACTATTAAAATAACACAACCTAAATACCAATTTTGACTTAATGTTAAATATTAATTTATATAATATATAATAATAAACAAAAAACTTAATTTTAATTAAACAGGCTGATGTTAACCCGCGTGACATATCAGTTTAGCAACAATGAATTCAATAACACAATTTTAATTTTCTTAGTATTTTAATTTGCAAATAATGTATACAGGGAGTGAGAAAACAACAGATCTTTGGTACCTTCTATAATGGGAATGACAAGTGCCACGACTGGCAAATGAAAGACCATCAAATACAGTAACATTATGATTTACACACACATACCTGTTAACAAACAGAAAACCTAGACCTGTTCAGTAACCTTGACTGGAGTGAAATATGGACGAGTTACATGGCCGACTGATAACTTTATGCACTTCAGGCTCAACACTATACCAGCACTTTTGTACTCCACTCAGAATGGAAAGGGCACAAAACTACATCATGTAAATGCACTAAACACATTAAAAAAAGTAATCAAAACCCCAAGAGTGCTGAAATTTACTGACATCTCAGAACTAAGTCACTTTGTGTCAAACATACATTCATTACTCAGTGTGTCAGTGCTTTGCTCACATGCTAAACACAGATGACATGAACAGAGCTAGAATTGCATAGTGTTCTTTAATCTGCTAACCTGATGAAATTGGGCAGGGGGTTCAAATGTTTTTGTTTCTAATATGTTAAACACATTAAGCCATTAATGCAAACAGCCATGTGATCAGTATCTGAAAAACAAAATATGAAAACCGTCCAAACTGAAATCACACACTGAATCAAATGACATCATTTAAGTGCACATACCTAACTAGAAGTTAACTGAATGGGTTAAAGGAATGCATCTACAACGCTGGATATATTATCTGAAAGAAACTAGTGGTGTTTAAAGATGGTGTAAACTTCAGTTTAAAATAAATTTGATAAATTCAAGTGTGCAAAAGCATAAAGAAATGTGGGTTCAGATTAGATGAACTTTAAAATCAAAACAATATTAATCTTAAATGTAAGTCTACATTTCTGAACTCTGAAAAGTGATTAATAATAAATCATACATTCTTTGTTTGGTGCAGGAATCTTAAAAAGAAAAAAAGAAAAAAAAAGAAAAAAGTGTTCAGGACAGTGGACAAGCAGATTTTACCTAATACAACAACTTAAGGCGAGAAATTAAATAAAAACACCCAAAGAAAACCACGTCATATTACAACTGCTGTTTCATGCCGAATAACTTTCCCTCAATTACAGCAATCTATCTGTTAAGATTCTTTGCAAGGTTTTTTTTTTCCAGCCAAACTGAAAAGAGACGAGCATTTAATGGACAAACACTAGGAATTCCAAGACAGCAGCAACATCCATGCCCCTCTAAATGCAAATGAGGAATTTTCTCGGGAATAAAGTGGGATAGAGCAAGCCACATAAAAACCAAAGAGTATAAACGCAGCATAGGAATCATGTTGAAGGCACAATCTTCCCTGACACAATGAAAACCCCCAAAAGCAGACGAGTCAGCAGTTCTATCACAGACGCAGAAAAAAAAACATTGACTGCTGATGGAGGGTTAGGGGTCTGGTAGAGCTGGGAAGGATTGTGTGTGTGTGTGTGTGTGTGCGTGTCCTGGCCCTCCAGGGACAGCAAGACTCAATCCTGGGTTGAGCACACCTCTCTGTGACTCTCGGCCTCCATATCTGGCCCACAGTGGCACGCCGGGCTACAAGCCATTTGTGGAGTCTCTGGGCTATTCTGATGGACAGGGCTACCCTCTTCTGAGTCTATCGCTTCTGGTGGTGACCCCGTCTCTGTTTCTGGCCTATTCTCAATGCCTGTGGAAACACCCTGAACCTTCTTACTCAGCTCATTACGCTCTATCTGTAGAGCACGACAGAGCTTTTCCAGTCGCTGCACCTTCACCTGCAGGCTTTCAAACTCCTTGTCTCGTAGTGTTTTCTACAGTGGACAACAGAGAGAAAACATAAAACATACAAAACAACTAAAATGTACAGCTTTCAAACAATTACATGTGTAACAAAGTTTTAACTATTTGCATTAAAGGTCCTGATATAGTTCAAGTGAAATTTTAGAACGAACTAGTGTAACGTCATTTTGGGGGGTGGGAGAGAAATAAGGCCAAAACTAAATTTGTTCAGAGTTTAAAGAGGAAAATTCTGTTTGCCAAAGTGAAATTTCACAGTGACTTGACTGGAGTGCTTAATTGCAGATCTGGTAAAAAATAAATAAATAATTATTTATATATATATATATATATATATATATATATTTATATATATATACCATCATTATAATCATACTTTGTTGCCACTGAGAAGACGGAAGTTGTTCACATATTCATCTAAACATCACTCAGCAGTGCTGGTGGCATCGAGATGTTTGCTGAGAATATACTGCTGAAAAACAATTTCGAATTTCTTTTTACCCCCAAGTGAAGAACGAAAAGTAACTTAACCGCGAGTATATCAGGGCCTTAACTGTCAAGACAAAGAAGAGAACTGGCATAGATCTGAGTACAACAATCACCTCCTCTGCCATCTCCAGCAGAGCTTTGTTACTGCTCTCCCATCGTGATCTATACATGGTTGTTTCCTTCTCCAGCTTCTTAATCTTTTTGGTCATCTGCAGCATGATACAAAACAGATTAAACCCAACTTTCAAAAAAAACACAGCCTTTAAACGATTTACAACCTCCAAGACAACATACAATCTATGCATTAATACAGGCCTTGCAGACTATTTCCAATGTGTTACTTTTCCATTGTTTTGTGTGTAAACACACGCTACAGACGTATATAACCGTGTAAAATCAGTTAAAGTTTTTAAAAAACGTGTCGAGACCTTGCAGAATTTTTCCTCATTCTTAAAAGCAAAGTTCTGTGTGAACAAGCTCTAACAGTGTCTTTGTAGGAGTGTGAAGTCCACAACATCCACTAATCACTACTAAACAGTCATTTACCTTTTCCATCTCTTGTTTGAAAGTTGTGAACACCTCGTTGCTTTTGGAAAGTGTGTTTTGAAACTCTTCAAACTTCTCTGTGTACAATGAGAGCTGAAAAAGATCAAATAAAAACATTTTAGAATTGGACGTCAAAACCATAGACAGTAAAACAAATGGACACATTGATTTCAATGGAGAAGACTGAAGCCCGATTATTGCACTTCCTGTCTGATATCGGAGCGACTGCGCAGGCTCAAACTGAGCGTGACGACAGTCTGACCGTTGAAAATCTTCTAGTAGCTGTGCCAAGACAATTCTGAATCACTTAATTCCTCAAAAACGTTATATTTTGTCCCATTGCTTTTATGGACTCTCTATTTATGGGCTTCTACCTTGACTTTGTGCCTCCATGTCTCCTGATTGCCTCATAGACAGTAAAAGATTGCCTGAGAGCTTCTCCTCCTGTCTATACAGTAATGTCTATTGTGCGACAGAAAGGCCCATGGTTATGATGCAATCTTTAGCCTATTTTTACAAAAACGGCTTCTACAGGGCTGTAACGTAAGATACAAAGTAATGGAGAATTTTTACATTTTCGTGTTTCTTTAAATAAATAATGGACAAATTAAGTCTTTGGAAGCCTCAGATGTAAAGTTATTCGCTGTCAAAGTGACACCAAAATGAATGGGAGTCAATGGGATGCTAACAGCAGGTGAAGTTCTGCTACAATGGCGGCCGGCAAACTTCCGGCTGATGGATTACCCCCTTGGTCAAAAACACACAGTAACACAAAATGTTTTGAGTGCTGCATAACCATGTAAATAACCACATTGCTACGGAGTTCTGGGTAGTTGCTAGATCCCTCCCTCTAATCTATACGATTTTCTGCTAAATGCTGTATATACTACCATTCAAATGTTTAGGGTCTGTAAGGTTTTAATATTTTAGAAAGAAGTCTCTTATGCTCACCAAGGCATATAAAACTCACATAAGTGATTTCTATTTTAATGCATTTTAAAATGTAATTTATTCCTGTGAATTCATCATCCATTACTCCGGTCTTTAGTGTCACATCCTTCAAAAATCATTCTAATATGCTGATTTTGGAGCTCAAGAAACATTTCTGATTATTATCAATGTTGAAAAAAAGTTTCTCTCCAAAAAACCTAATAACTCAGTGTGTCCAATAAGTGTGTGAGTTAGGTCAGATCTATCACCTGTTGTTTCAGATGAACCTCCTGCTGTTTCATGAGCTCATACATCCTCTGAGACTCAGCTGCCTCTTTCAGGAGCTGGAAAAGAAAGAAATGAGAGCATAAGAATCTTAATTAGTGACTGGCAACACTGTCCAGAGGGCATAACCACACCGGTGCACATATGAAGGCAGTTTCACAGGAAATGTATGGTACATTTATCCCAACAAAAATAGAGAATAAGTATGTTTTTGAACTTCAGCTGACCACAAGTTTGAAGTACTGGGCAAAGGACGTAGAAACTCACAAAGTCTTTTTCCTTCTGATGGCGGCCCTCTGAGTCCTTGAGCAGTGCCTGTGCCTGATTAAGCTTTGCATCTACCAGCTGCTGTTGCAGATCTTTGTGCTTGAACACCTTGTCAATATGCTGAAAGAGAGAAAACTATGTGCTTAAGGACAGCCTCTCCAAACCACAACTCAAGTAATACATAAAAATGCATGAATGTCACTGTAATAACTAAATAAACTTTTGAATTGTAATATAATGGCATCATAAACAATATTAAACTGTATCGCATTTATCTTCAGTTAAAAGGCATTAAATATTTATTTTCCCTTCTCTTCACTTTCCAATCATCCTTTATTTCCGTATCTCTCACCTCCTCTCTGAGCTCGTACTGCTCAATTAGTTTCTTTAGTTTGTCAGCCAGCTCCATATTCTCTTGTCTTAGGTTTGCATTACGCTCGTTGTGCTGCTCCATCTGTGCTTGGATGTCATTCAGTGTCACCTGGAAATGTGAGGTCACTTCCTTCCTTTTCTCCTCCTCCAAACGGGCACGTTGCACACCATCCTCCTGCCAAGTAAAGCAAACATTAATCCATTAATCTCATTAAAGAAAGTACAATGCAACAAGCTTCTGGTTAAGTGAAAAGTAGAATTGGAGCACGGATTACACAATACTTGCTGACGCAGGATACACCTTTGAATTTAGATTTTACATATGGCAGGCACCACAGACATGATGATTACAATATACAGCATAAATAACAGAGATCTCGTTATTTGCATTCATATCGAGTTAGCGTACCTTAAGTGTGCGGTTGTGTCTCTGCAGTTCTCGACAGAGACTCTCGAGCTTGCTGCGGGCCAAGATGGCCTTGCTGTGCTCATTTCTTAAGTGGTCCTTCTCCTGGATTAGCTGCGTCTGCTTCTTCTGCAGGGCTCGCATCTGTTTCTGAGCGTTACGGTGCTCCTCTAGCTAAAAGAAACGCAGCAAGAAAGGAGCATTATTATAAGTTGTCTAAAATAGGGTTGTCATGACACCAGAATATCAGTAGTTGATAGCATATGCATTGTGTAATTACAGTGGTAATAGAACAGAGATTTGAAACATCTTACAAATGTATCATGAAAGAAAGCTCTTAATGTGGTAATGTGAGCTGAAAATGCCCAGCATTTCCTAGTATTGTAATAATGTCGACAAGCTATGGCCTTTCCCTCTTGTAGAGACAATTTTCTCTTCTCTGATAATGTGTTCACTGGTGTGAGGACAGGACAACCTAGCAACCTAGCAATAGCAAGCCACAACAATCTAACAATGGACAAAACCGAGCCATGTTCTACATTATTGCATGTTCGAGAAGCCATTTCAATCTAATCGTGATTGAAAAACTCAAATAACACGCATCTGTTATGAAATGGATGTTTGAGCCTCGTTTATTATATATTTTTTTATTTCCCTCGGAAGCTACGAATCTTCGGTGTTGATTACCGGTACTACCGATGCTCAAAAAAGTGATTTTCAGACTAACAGCAAGTCTTCTATCACTACATGAAACTACTTTCAAATAACAAAAAGTTTTTAGTTTTTTTAACTCTATAAAAAGAGTTAAAAAACACTGCTGAGTGATGTTTAACATTTATAAGGTGTTGGTTATGGTTTTTTGCAACCAAAATGTTTTTTTTCTTTCTCCTGACTATTTTCTAACCTCTCTCTCTAAGAGTGATATGTATAAAACAAATGTTCTGAGATGTTGACATCTCTTGATCATCATCAAGTCTTACCAGCTCAGCATACTTCTTACAGAGACCACCCAGCTTCTCCTCTGGAGTACTCAATGTGTTGAGAGTCTGCATTAGAAGGGTTATCTCTTTGCCTACAACGCAAAAGCAGATTAGAATTTCGGTTAAGAATAGTTCTGGGTATTGACATATTTTACGTCTTGATTCAATTTTGATTAATAAGCTCTTGATTCGAATTTGATCTCAGAAATATTTCAGGGAAAAAAAATCTAAATGATGTAAATTTTAGTGTACCAAGTGAGATGGTTCCCTGTTTAACAATATTAATGAATAAAACCAACCAATTCAATTATTCAACTATTTAATTGCCATTAACTTTTAGATATAATAATCAGCATTCAAATTAAAGTTAACATTTAAACATTTACATTTGTAATTCAAACTATCTATAGTGATATAATAATGTTTCTCAGCAAAGACTAAAATTGACCGACACCATTGAGGAACACATCTGAATCCCCAACTGCATTCAGATCAAGTGTGTGGGTTCACTTTGAATTGTGCAGAATCACAAAGAATGAGCTTGAATTGTGCTTTTGTTAGTGTGGGCATTTACTGCAGTAAAATAAACTACAGTAAAGCATGGATGTTAGAAAGGACAAATAGAAAACATTGCCCGTCTCAATTTAAAAACATCAGACAATATGGCAGCACCGTTGATGTACGCTCCAGCGGCCAATAGGGCGTCTATGTATTTATTATGTCTATGGCTGCAACATTCCAAAAAGAGTTGGGACAGAGGCAAAGTAAAAGCGAAAAGACTATAAAATATCCAAGTTAACCTGTTTTGAAACAGTCCATAATTAGCAGGTGAACAGGTAATAGGTGAGGGTATCGTGTTTTGGGTATAAAAGGAGCATCCACCACCACCAAAGACTCGGCTAAACTCGGCTTCTTGGCTAAACACTTTTCTGCTAAATTTCATGAGAATTGTCAACCAATGCAAATATCATATTTCTCAATGCAAGATTGCAAAGTATTTAGGTCTTTCACCAAATACCATACCTAATATTGTAAAAAGATTCAGGGAATCCAGAGAAATCTCAATTCATTTAGGGCAAGGCAGGAGACCTCTGTTTAATGTGCATGACTTTTGAGCCCTCAGATGGCATTGGCTGAGAAACCATGATATGTTAAAAACAGCCACATGGGCTCGGGAGTACTTTGGGAAACCATCGTCACTTAACACAGTCTGCCCCAGCATCAAGAAATGCAACTTGACTCTGTTATGTTATATATATATATATAAATTTGACCGTTGTGTCTTTTCTATCACTTTTGATCAAAACGTGTTAGATAATGAAAAGAGCATTAATAGCAAGCCGACAGTTGGTGTCGGACTCGTTACATACTTAAGCAAACGCACTGACTCACCCAGTCCCTTCACTTTCTTCTTGTCTTGCAGCTTCTTCGGGTCCTTCTCCACACATCCATTGCCATTTAGTTTGGCTTCCACCTGTTTGCCATCCTCTCTCTCAGACAGCCCGTTCACTTCAACGCCGTCAGGCTGGCCATTGGTCACTGCGACATCATCGCTGCCAACACCACCATGCTCATGACAATAGGTGCTGAGGATGTCCTCCAGCTGTCTGCACAGTTCCTCAGCCATGTCACAGGAAGCTGAAATTGCACCGGCCTCTGCCACTAAACACAAAGAAACATGAGGAGAAGACTAACAGCAATGGAAATGACTTTTCTACAATGAAGATGTGAATATACTAAGGTTTTGGGTTAGTTTAGAACATAGAAGAAAAAAAATCAATGTGTCAGCTCCCTTACAGCTTTCATCAGTCTGAGCATTGTTGGTCGGTGTCCCGTCCGACTGAGTTTCGATTTCTTTAGGGCTATTGGTCATCTCAGATGCCTCCGTATCATCTGCACTGCTATCAGCAACTGGATCCTCCATCTCCCTTCTCTGCATTGCTGATCTATGTACAAATATTTTTTAAAAAAATGCAACAGTACACAGGTAAACGACTACAATACGACACACTTCACTATGTAAGCTTGAACATTTACAGCTACAATTCAGTTGCACAATTTAAACGAATCAGATGTGTAAGAGACGGACAAAACCAACGAGGATGACACTTGTTGACTAACGTACGTAACTAAGTACATAACATGAAGACGCACTAATCACTACAATCTGATTTGAGACCACATTTATGACAGAGACAATCATTATATGTTTGTTGTAAACTTCAGTAAACAGCAACCAACAGACGTGCCTAAAAAGAACAAGTGTTACGTTTATCTGACGGTTTATAATATAGATGTAACGTTAGCGGTGTAACAACTCGCTCGACTAACAGTTTACTGCTAGCAGTCATGGCTAACAAATCGCAGAGTTAAATATCTGCTAACTGAGTTGATGCGCTCTACAACTGTACAAAACAAACACACCGAACGTATCTTTGCTGTCAGATAATTGTGTTTTAAATATTACCAGTGTCTCAGTTTGGTCCAAGTAACCCTTTCAGATGTTTGTCACCACTCTTTACCCTTCCACTGCTGCTGCTCCTAACTGACACAGGAAATGCCAGGGAATCAGTCGAAGATGATTGGTCGTCGACCTGTGGCAAACTTCCGGTGTGTTATTCGGCGTATTATTATTGGTTTTATTATTATTGTAGTGGACCCTGGCTGTGGTTTATTATTTATTTATTTTGTTTTATTAGTCCGAATCAATATTTCTTATTTCATTTAATATTTCCCGCTAGTGATGGGAGCAGAAGCGTCGCCCTTTTAGACCATTTGAATCAATTGAACCAAATTATTCGCAGAAAGATTCACTGTCTCGAATTCGAATCGCCCGAGTCGAAACAAACACAAGCTGGTGGAACTGGCTGGTCAAAAGTCAAGTGCAACGAAAACTTAAACAAAACATTTACAGGCGAAAACTCGCTGCGTCTACTAAATGGTTAAATGTACGTTTTACACTTTTTTTTATTTAAATATATACATATTTATTGAACAGCAGTATTTTGAAATGTTTCGAAACCAACGCTATGCTTGCTGAAATCACGTGACGTGGCGAGTTCAATTCAAGCTCCGAACCACAGAATCGACACAGGAGATTCATACATGTTTCGAAGCTTCATGTTTTGCATTCAAATACCACATGAATAAAGATTATGAAGGATTTATACATATTCAGATTGTTCTAAGAAACCCGAGATAGGAGTGACAGTATATAGGGTGGCAATACCTGCTAAAGGAATGGGAATTAATCAGATTTTTTTAGGAGTAGGTTATACACAGTGGAAATGGTGGCAGTGTTAGTTGCATTAAGGTGGGTGGGGAAAAAAACAAGACAAGAAAAGGTGCTAATATGCTCTGATTCGTATTCTGATACTCAAAAAAGCCCCCAGGATGTATTGTATGAAGTCCTTCAGTCAGTTACAATGATAACAAATAAATGAGGACAGGTACAATGTGTGTGGGTATAGGGAGAAAGCAGGGTGACCAACGGTCCTGTTTTCCCTGGACATGTCCTGTTTTCACGTCCTGCCCTGGCCGTCCGTTATGGCTGTTTTTTTATAAAGTGATGAAAATGTCCTGGTTTTCAAAAAACTGCTGGGAAAGATAAGCTCTACAGCAAAATATAGATGGGCAAACAATGAGGATGAGGAAGAAAAACAGGATAAAGATGAAGGAAAAGTAAAGATATAAATATATTTTGTTAGTTTGTTTTTGTAGTTTGTGAGAGCTAAATTTTTGTTGTTGTTGTTGTTGTTGTTTTAGTTATTTATTATTTATATATTTATTTTTCTAATACAGAAGAGAAACTATTTCTATCATTATTTCATTCATCATTTTTGAAACCTGTCATAATAAAACATGTTGAGTGACTTCTGAGAAGCCTATGTTAATTTGTGTCTTGTAATATAACAATTTTCTATCCATTCAGAGGAGGCATGGCCTACTTTAAATGTATTGAAATTAATAAGGCATCTTTGAGTAAACTTCGAGTATCATTTGACTATCTGTTTCCTGGGCCGTGTTTCCTGGTTTTTAGTAATCAAAATATGGGGTGAAAGGAATGAGCAGGTGGATGAATAGGCAAATATGGCTTTAAAGAAGGGAAATATAGAAATTCAATTTACCTATTTACCCATTTACCTATATCAAATAAAATAGTGTAAAAATAACTATAGGTGGGCACAGGAGAGAGGAAACTGTAATGACAAGGCTAGGGCACGGTGCATGATAAAATGATAGGAAAACACGAGACAGGCTTGTGTGAGTGGTGTCAGAATAATTTGAGGTAATTAGGGGTGCAGGAATTAACATTAAAAGGATTGTTGAACAGGTGACAGAGCGGTTTGAATATTGTTAACATTATTTAGGGAAACTGGTTTGTTTAATAGGTTATCTTATGAGGATAAACAGGGATGTGGAAAGTGTGTTGGGAAATAAATGTGTGCGTTATAAGATTACTATTTTCTTTTATGTGGAGATTGTAAGCCAATTGTCTGAGTCACACTCCGGAACAGAAGGTGGCGGTAATGCACCAAAAGCTAGTTCCCAACCGCCGTTAAAACCAAAGAAGAAGATGATGTTTCGTATTCGCTAACGTCAACGTCGTCGCCATATTGAATCGGGCAACTCGGGCAACTCACTCTCTCTTGGAAAAAAATGCCTGATTCATGCGTTGCTTGGGGCTGTAAAAACCGTCGCACAGCACAGACAAAATCCCGGGGAATTACTTTTCACAAGTAAGATTGAACAATTGTTTCTGGTCGTATTTGGTTATTATAACGTTATGTTGATAGAGCCAGACTAAGCTAACAAAAACAAGCTAGCTACAAATGCTTGTGCTGTATGACAAAAGTTAAATGTTTTATCAAAGTTTTATGCTTTCTTTAAAAGGCTCGGGTTGATTTGTGGATTAAAACATAACGATAATCAGCTCGACTCATCACGACCTTTACAACTCCATCTCACTGTTTCGAGCAGCGCCACCAAACAACCAAGCTGTGTGCTAGAGTCCTTTGCTAAAATAAATTAAAGAAAGCGAGAACGAGGCAACGTAAAACTCCGTGCATTTAGTTAAAAAATAAAATTAAATAAAAAACATAAAAGGGCAAATAAATGTGTTCTTTTATTCTCCGACACTTTCTCTTTATCATTAACAAAGGGAACTTTTTTTTTACATTTCAATTATCAGTTAGCAGAGTTCTCTTCTTATGAGAACAAACTTATATATTTAAAAGCCAAACCATTCAGGTGCACTGATTCTATTTAAATTATTTGTTTGATGTCTCTAGATTCCAATTTAAAAATAAATAAATGGTCTACTGTGACCATGATTTATTAAATTTATTAAATATTAAATGAACTGGACCTCTTGAAACATTATGGACTGTTCTTAGTTTAAAAAAATCAAGCAGTTGCCCATAATCAAGATCTATTGTCATAATCAAAATGCCATAATCATCTATATTGGTTGTTTTTTTGTTCTAAACTGAGTTATATTACAAGCTCCTCGTTTCGTCTGAGTGACTGACATAATATTATTGTGAATCTGACTGTTATCTATCTCACACTTTGAAGGTTTCCCAAACTGAAAGCGTTGAGGAAGCAGTGGGAAATTGCCCTAAGATGGGAAGGTTTTTCCGCCAGCGATTCTTCCGTGCTTTGCAGTGAGCATTTCAGGGAGCAGGACTTGGACAAGACGGGTCAGACCGTAAGGATCAGAGAAGGAGCAAAACCATCTGTCTTCAATTTCCCAGCTCATATACAAAGAGTAGGTCTACCTCCAGACTAAATGATATGATATCTAGTCATTAGGCATATATATATATATATATATATGTAGATATATGAAATATTTTCCTTCTATTTTAGCCAGTGTCAGCGCGGACAACAAAAACCTCAAGGAGAGCTGAAGAAAGCCTGCCGGTGGACTGTTCTCCGCAGGTCAAACGTCCTGCCCCAGAGACAAGACCTCCACCAAATCTTGTGAGTTTTGTACTAATTTTGCACCAAATTGCTATGACTGAGCGATGTGGCACAAGCAGTAATGTAAAAATGTCCTTCCTTTCTTCTAGGACCACTCCTATGCATTGCCAGCAGATCCCACTGGTCTAAAGGCCAGACTCAGTGAAGCCTTGGCTAGAGTGGAGAGTCTGGAGAGGGACATGAGGAACGTGAGGAAACGAGAACAAAGGGCAAAGACTATAGTACTTTCTCTTCTAGATGATCTGAGCGGAAAGAACGTCATAAACGAAGAGCTGGAACACAAGCTCAATTTCTACTCTGGGAAAATGAAAATTCAATAAAATGTTGAACTCTATGTATATCTCATGTCCGCACTTTCCACGTCTCTACAAATTCTTAGGGAATTTCAAATCTTCTCATTTGACCTGCTGCCAAAAAGGGCCATGAGTGCAAAAGAAACTGTCCACTGGTCCAAAAGCATTCAACTAAGAGATTTTTTTTTCTTTTCTTTTTTGAACTACCACATGCACATACATTGCAAAGATGTTTTTTTTTTTAATGTCATTTGACAATATTCTGGATGGTTTTACAAAGGTGAATGCTAGACTTGGCCTCAACATGATGTTAGATATGTTCATATGTAAAGTATACGTGATATTGATGTCTGTGGTTCCAGTGCAGGAAAACACCTGCCAAGTCAAGGTTTTTTTTTGTTGTTTTTTTAATGTGTGTATTCATTTCTCAAATGCAGTTTATTTGTGAAAATTTGAAAGCTGTTTTGTGCATTGCATGTACTTCACTTTTGTTTTTCTAATCATTTGTGAATACATGAATAAATATCTATTGTTATATTACAATATTCTGGTCTAATTAATGTTAAATATACACTTATATATACACAGAGAGAGAGTTTAAACAATCTAAAGCCCTTTCTACTGACAAAATGTTGGCATATAATTGTAGTTAATTTGCAATTGGGAGCGAAAAGACAGCAACTTGTATGCTACAATAATAAAAAAATGGACAACTTACAATATCAACATAAATATGACAGTAATGGTACCTCGAAAAGCATGTCATTAAACATGTTCCTTCTTGAAAAGCTGTTAACTATATTCATCATTCTTTTACTAACTTTACAGAAGCCAGTTTACAAACCAGATGTTTTATCCTTTTATTTGTATCTGGACAAAAAGAAAAAGAAAAAAACTCAAAACATTTGTTCAGAATTGTTCATGTATATGTTCGTGTGACATGTTCAGTTTGTGTGTCCGTCACTCATTCATATCGTCGGTAAAGTCAGTCACAGTACGGGCAATTGTAGGCAGAGGAGGAGAAAAAAAAAAAGATTTAAATATAAATACATTTAAAAGGAAAGAAATTACCGAACCCGGATACAATCTCCACCTGGGCGATTCTTAATATCATGTATGAAAAGTACTTAAACATTTAGCATTGTAAACACAGGTGAGTCAGCATTACTACACAACCATATGCATCAGCTCCAGGTTTGGAAGAGACAAAAAGTCTCAAAATGTCAACATCTACAAGATCTAGGACGGAAGACCATAAAGACCCAATTTCACTTATTTGTGGCCTTTTGTAAATTGTTTTCTGCACTTCTCAGAAGTTATTTAAAGGAGTAAAGAGCAGCACTCAACTTTAAATTGTGCCAATATAACAATATAATTGTTAAAGCTCTGGTTTAAGTGTAATTCAGAGACAGATCATGAGACGCCCAGATTTGTTTTTGAAATCTTTGTCCCTAAATGAGAACAGAATATCTGCGAAAGAGACCTGAACTGATATGGATTTGCTGTAATTGTGCTACAGTAAGTTAGAGGGAAGTCAAGACTCAGAACAACATAGTTGGGTCTACATGGTCAGCTAGTGCGCTTATAAACAAGAAAAGAGCAACACAAACACACACACACGAAAAAAAAAAAAAAACATATTACAGAGTTTCTCCTTCAACGATTAGTATCTTCAATAGAACTACGCCCAAAATGAACACAAAGCTAAGCAAACAGTACACACTGGAGAACATTGCATTGGCCTTGGTTAAAAGTATTAGTAATCGAGCACAATAAATTATGCATTTTTCTCTTTATACCTTTGAGTTTACCAATTTGGTGTACAAGTAGCAGACCATCACATCTCTAATGAAACTGTGGCAGACAATGTAACCTCTAATTTGTAAGATAAGAAAATAGAGCAGCAATATTTGCACAAAATATGTGCACATTCAAGTAAACAAAGAAAGAAAGAAAAAAAAAATCAAAGACAGATTGATAAGCATACAGCCTCTTGTCTTTGTTGGTCTGATTGGCACTTTTGTGAATAGGAGTGCATTTCCATTCCATTAAGAGATCATTTCTTTGCTTTTTTTATGTGATCAATGTATGAATCCACCCAGTGGTCTTGTAGACCATTAAATATATTTTATAAGCTTAGTTTTTTTCCTTTCCACCATATGATCACAGTCTTATTTTGTGTAAAAAAAAAAAATCTGGACTGCAACATCTTCGCTCGGAGATGGACCAAAAGAACCCATATAAAAGAAAACCCTGTTTGAAATTCGCCTCGATACTGCTGTTAAAGTACATCAAATTGTGAAGAGGTATTTTCAACTAGGTAAATGCAAGTGTCTCAAATTCAAAAAGAAGAATTAGTATGAAAACCTTCTTTCGGTTCTCAGTTCTGATCAGGAATCGCATCAGACATTGACATTTACAGAAGGAAATAACTTCTAGATATTAGTCAACCAAAAACATATCCGTACCAAACACAGGATGCTGCTTCAATAAGAACAGATGCTGATATGAACTGTGCATCACTTCCCTTCCCTCCCTACATCATCCGTCAGTCAACGTCTATGTTTTCATAGCCCCTACGAAATCAAATGACCCTTAGCATTCACTCAGAGAAGCGCCCTTCTGTCAGTGTATTACGGAGGAAGAGGAAAATGCTTCCATAAATGACATGAGTTTTAAAGCAAAATATAAGGTTAATATTCAAACTTTTCATGTATTCTGAAATCCACAGCAGTCTAACGTGATCAAACTCTGGTGTTTTAGTGCATCAACCTAAGAAGTGCCAAATGGTAAAATAAGAAAAGATGTTTGGAGATTACGGAAGTCATTTTCCCCTGTGGGTGTACTTGTTTAAGAAGTGTATGCTGGTCTTGTATGCATGTGTGCAAAGTGTGTGCAAATAGAACAATATCTATCTATATATTTTTGCCCATAAATTTCATTATTCGTTATATAAAGAAGTATCCCTTGCCATATCTACATCACCTGTAAAAATAGAAACAGAACCCAGAACAACTCCAGCTAATGAGTGTGAGCTAATTGAATGAAGATCTGTCAAGGGATACAAAATGGTTGTTGGTACCAACAGAACACCATGCAAAACCCTAACATGCACATACCGAGGGCTGCACGAAACAAACACCTTGAAGTTATCAGAACCACCCAGCATTACTATGCTCCAATTAATAACGAGAAAAGAGCAGAATTAAGACTCCATCATGTGCATTACCCCGGCCCTCAGATGCGTGTCGATTTACCCCAGATCACATTTTATAGTTAAAGCCTTTTGATCAAAAGAAAAGCTATTCATAACACTGCACACCACGAATACCCTACAACTAGATATTTCACCTCTGACTGGTAAAAAAAAAAAAGAACAGAAAAGAAAAATGGGCATTATCTTTACTAAATGGGCTCTTTGGGCCGCACTTCACCAGTCATCATTTTTTTTTTTTTTTTTTTTAACAGTAATGACTTTTTATATTAGGATAGTCCTTTACTAAAATGCCTGTATTATTTTAACACCACCCACCACCACGTCAAACAGACTCTACATTAACTCCTGTCGCTTCCACACCCAGCATGGTCTGAAATGATAAAGTCAATGAATACTAATTCTAAGAAGTTGAAACGGCTCCGGAAAGCCATTACTTAAAGGATTAGTTCACTTTTCAAAAAACTTTTGCTGATAATTTACTCACCCCCATGTCATCCAAGATGTCCACGTCTTTCTTTCTTCAGTTGAGAAGAAATTAAGGTTTTTAAAGAAAACGTTCCAGGATTTTTCTTCATATAATTGACTTCAGTGGGAACCAGACGGTTCAAGGTCCAGTTCAAACTGCAAACTTGTTCAAAGGGCTTTAAACGATTCCAGACGATGAATAAGGGTCTTATCAAGCGAAACGATCGCTCATTTAAAAAAAAAAAAAATAACAAAGTTTAAGTTTTATAAGATCAAATGCTCGCCTTGCTCTGTTCTGTGGTGCACGTTCGTGACTCTCCTGTTCGAACTCGTTCAACAAAATGAACAAATCTTTTTCTGAATCAATTCGTTCGTTTCTTTCGCCGAATGAACCAAATGACTCGGAAAAAGATGTGTTCATTTTGATGCACGAGTTCGAACAGGAGTGCGTTACAGAACAGAGCAAGGCGAGCGTTTGAGCTTATAAAACTTAAACTTTGTTATTTATTTATAAAACGAGCGATCGTTTCGCTTGATAGGACCCTTATTCATCGTCTGGAATCGTTTAAAGCCCTTTGAACAAGTTTGCAGTTTGTACTGAAAGTTTCTTTTGGAACTTGAGCCGCTTGGTTCCCACTGAAGTCCGTTATATGGAGAAAAATCCTGGAATGTTTTCATCAAAAACCTTAATTTCTTTTCGACTGAAGAAAGAAAGACATGGACATCTTGGATGACATGGGGGTGAGTAAATTATCAGCAAAAGTTTTTTTAAAAGTGAACTACTCCTTTAAATTGTCATGAAACGCATCCGCAGATATTATGGCGTTTTGTCTAAAGCATGGTCATATAAAATATAACCAGGCTTTTTAATCACCAAATTATGAGTAATGAACAGAAGGAAGAAATTCTACAACGCAACACTTGATAATTCAAACAAAGATCAAGATCAGGATTTTTTGAATTTCATTAGACGAGTAAACGATTCTCTCGACTTTCAGTGAAAGGGGAAAACTGAAGCATACCTTGCCTCAAAAAAAAAAAAAAAAAAAAAAAAATGGACACAGCGCCATGATTTCTACCTGAGGGGGGTGGTTATTTAGCTGCATCATTGAGGGGGACAAAATGAGAGAAACTAAAATCCAGCTCTCATGGGTGTGACAGGGCAGTGGATTGGTTCCCCTGCTTAAAACACACCTCAGTGTCTAAATAAATCGGTCTGGGTCATGGGTCGCAGGTCGAAATTTGGTTCACTCAGATGTCAATCGTTGCGCTCTGAGTGTTTTCGATGTACGTTTCAGTAAGGTAATGGGGTGTAAAGGTCAGGGGGCGGCCGGGAAGGGTCTGGGGGCTGGTTATAGCTGGAAGCCCTCCATAGGAGCCTCCTGCTGGGGGAAAAGGAACTGCTGCTGGTTCTCATCCACCTGTGGTGCCAGACTGGCATCCTCTTCCTCTACTCCGAAGTAGTGCTCGATGAGGTCAAAGGCTTTCTGGTAGATCTCCTGATTTTCATGACTCTGTAGGAACTCGATTTTGTCCAACCCTGGTAGAGAGATATAGAGTTTATATTTCACAATACTACAGTTTTACTATATTATTCATCGAACGCAGTCTTGGTGAGAGCATCAGAGATTACTTTCAAAATGTCTGTCTGTCTATCAATCGATATCCATCTCTGTCCATCTATCGATAGGTATATATTTTCTCTAGCTCTCTCTTCATGCATTTTAACAAATCAGATAGCTAAGAGTTCAATTTACCATTGGCCACATAAACGCGTCTCAAAATGTGATCTTCAATTCCCAAGCTACAGTATACACAAATTTAATAAGTTTCCATCAAAGAAAGCAACAGATATGAACTG